TTACTATTAACAATTAACACAGTGCAATAAACAAAAAAGAACTGAAGAAACCCTCTCTCTCTCACACACGCAGACACACACACACACACACACACACATAGTGCATCTGCTGTTGGACCCCTCCTCCTGCTCAGTGTCACAGCTGAGAGCCAGGTTGGCAAGGAAACCGGTGACATCAGCTGCAGCATGGCAGGAGCTGCCATTTGTTTGTGATATGGAAAGAGAGAGAGAGAGACTAAGAGAGAGTGAGCAAGAGGGGAAAGACATGATGGTGCAGTCGGCATTACCATGACGACATTTTGTCATGGTTACAGTTTAGGTTACGCATCACTTGTGCACTGTACACGAGATGGACACAGTTACAGGGAGACCTTACAGTGTGTTATAGCACATGCCAGGGTTTGAACTCTTTTCTCTGTGAGGGGGAGAACGTTCTCGTGGTGACAATAGCTTTCAAAGCAATATTCACATGCAAACACATACTGAGGTTAAAGCATCAGCCTGATGATATTTGTGTCATTAGATCCATGAGTCTATTCAAACAAGAGCTGTGTCTATCCAAAGAGGGACATATTTCTAAAGAGCACCACTGTTTTAAAAACACGTTCCCACATTCACCCTCCTGCTGCAGCAAATACTCAACAGAGCACCGATTGTGGATTAATCTGCTGCTGAAAATAGTCCCCAACAAATGCACGCAAACTAGAAATTACAGTTCCAAGCTGTTTTTTTTCGAATAGTTTAACATTTTAGTTTTTTTTTAATCATAATAACTGGGACCCTTTCTAAAGATTTAGGTTTTCAGAAGCACCCAGAAGGCTTTGGGCCACACACATTCTGGGGAGGTCTGAAGTATTGAAGCAGGGGCTAACACACTATTAGTTTTGTTGATTATAAAAATATGTCACCACTCACCAGCCTTATTCTTATCTTATCCTTGAAGACGTTATTTGACAAATTGAACCGAAGTAGCTTGACCGGGGAGATAAAATTTAGGAACTAATTGTAAGATCAAAAGTTTATATTTGATTGCCTGTTTCTTCAGGAGAGGATAGTGTATGTCCATCCCTTCAGCTGGGCTTTGTCCTTTGTCCTGCATTGGTAATCGTGTACAGGGAGGAGGAATAAGATGCTTCAGACTTCAGACAAGTTCATTCTTCATACTCAATGCCATTGTCTTTCACTGTGCCTGCAATAAATGTAAAAAGTGAAACCAGGGCTTGTCATATGGACAGAAAACTGATCGAGCTGTGACAACAGCATATTTGCCATTTCGATATTTCCTCGACCGACAAACCAGAGAGAAATGATGGCATCTCTTTTTTTTCACAATTCATCACACCAAATGTCATATTTGGTAATGGCAGCTTGTTTCTCCTTACTTAGCATGTGAAAGTAAAAAAATGTACTTCTTCTTTGACAATAGCCATACCGGTCCAATGGCTTGCTGATTGGACTGCACAATTAACACACACACACATACACACACACACTTAATGTGTGATTTCAAGTGTGAGTAAATATGAACTAGTTTCTGCACGTTTACATCTACATTTACTTGAAAAAAACCTTTTTATAATGTTGCCCTCTTTGTTGTTGTCGTACTTTGTGAGTACTCATTGCATTTTGATTCAAACAGCGACCCGACATGTGAAACATGAGTTGTCTGTTGCGAGCTAAAGGACGCTGGTGATAATGCTTGATGCATGTGGTTCTAGTTAGACCGTACATGGACCTGCGGAGGGGAGTTGTGCACCACTGGGTTATGCTAACCTTGTGGTGTCACATTAATTATTCAGGGTTGGCTCGGCGCGGCAGAAATGAGACCCTCAGCAAAGGCAGAGCCATTACAATTCCACAAACGTGGTCCTCGGAGTGTCTGCCCAACCTCGGAGCATTTCTCACATTGGACATGGACCCTGTTTTCCTTCATTTTTTCCTACTCATTTTTCTTTCCTTGTCAGCCACTGAAACCCTCATCTCCCTTTGTGCAAATTGGACAAGGCTCTTTCAAAGGTTTCTTCACACTTGTTCAGATTTCTTTATGAAATCGTAGCCCACCTCTGACTCATATTTGACCAAACTGTATTTGGTCAGCCACTAAACTCTATTCACATTTCATTCAAGGACTCCCATACTTTGATACCTCTTTATTTCTGTATTTTCACAGTAATTTCCTATGAAACAATTATGTCGTATGGTTCTAACCACAGAAAAACAGAAGGAATATCTTTGAAAGAACCTTTTCACTTGAACCCAAATAAATATCAACTATCATACGTTATGTTTGCCTTTAGACTAGAGCTGATATAATTAGTTGTTCAACGGAAAAGTATTTTTATTATCAATTTATTATTTTATTCCTTTTTAGGCAAAAATATTGAAACGGTGAAACAACATACAATCTTCAGCCTCACAAATGAGAGGACCGAACTTGGGTCTGAACATTGTGTTACTTGCTAAACAGACATGCAATGTAAAAAAAATACACCAGTTAAAGAAATCTTTCAAACTTATATATAAGCCACACAGGTGTACAGTAATACATGAAAAACATTGATTATAAAAATCGAATTGCAGATAAACCAGGTAGGATGAACACAAAGTTTTCTAACTTCTCTCTGCACCATAGATTGTTTAACGCTCTGCACACAACGTCCAGCACACAAACAATACAAAAGTTTAAAGAAGGACTCACTAATGACAGGACTAATTCTGAAGCAGCTCTGGGGCATTAACACAGGATAAGAGAACAGGCACTGCACTAGTGGGAAATTATTCAGAGACCCCGAACTTGCTTTATATTCACTGGGGCTAGGATATTAATTCACATGCATATTTTCGAATAAACTTCAGTTGTTCTTCTTATTCAAGCCAAGAAACGCAAACTTGCAAGTCTTTTAAAACATTCATTTTCCTTGAACTTGGGTCCTTACTCAATTGATTCAACCTCTCAACCAGTGATTCGTTAATTCAGCATTGCTAGATCTGCTAGATGAACTGAGTCTGGTGGTTCCTTCCCTTTTCCTGCAGCTCCACCAAGAGGTGGACAGTTGTGTTTTTGTCACTGTGAAATATCTCTAGAACACTATTTGATAAATTGCTGTGAAATTTTGCACAGGATGAGTTGTAATAACTTTGCTAATAAGCTCAATTTTCATCTCATCCATCATAAAGTCAAAATTTACTTTAAAATCAACATACCTGAAAAATAATGCAGCTCCAGCACCAATATCAGTGCACTGCATTTAATAAAGGACAAAGCCATAAACCTTGTTAAGTGAAATTAAGCACAGCACAGTGCAACACCTAATGTATAATTAACTTTATTGACTATTTATTTTTATTGCTGTAACAGGAATATATTAATAACAACAACATGCCCAAGAACCAGAGATGTTCCAGTACCGACACTAGCATTGGAGAAGCCTCCAATAGTCTGAAAATGCTGGATCGGCAAGTACTCAAATCTATACCACGTCTATAAAGTATATTAGTTTCACCCAGATAAAACTGGATTTTCTTTGCTTCTCCAGAATAGCAGTTGTGGTGTTCTGCCACTGGCTAGAACTATTTATAGAATGGTGAAGAAGATGTGTTTTCCGTTAGTATAGCATTAGCCAGAGCTCGCTAAAATGTCAGTGATTTCACGTTGGAAAGTCCCAGATGTAAAATAGCAACGTGGACTTTAAGACTTCAATTTCTAGGGGTAGCAGGCGGAGTTCCATCATGTAATCATAGTTTCCATACAGGGTTAGCAACATGCAGCTGTTTCTTTTAAAGATATCAAGTAAATGGTATTAGATCGGTACTTGGTTGTGGCTGAAACGCAATTGGATTATATATGGAAAGTATATGCACTGGAAATTGGTATGAGAACATCTCTACCATAAGAACAGCCTGACGGTGTGTGTGTGTATTTGCACTGTTGCAGATGCAGCATCCTTGGTTTAGCAATGCTTCCACTTTTTTTTGCATGAGACAGGAGTTTAGCAGCAGATGGGGAATTGAAGGTGATATTATTAATGTGGCGTATTCAGTAACACTGCTCACTGCAGGTCTGAAGTTTAACACTACAATCTTTAGCCTTAATACATCTGTCTTGGTTTTCTTTGAAAGTTTCGAGTGTTGTGTAAGAGGATAATTTAAACCGACTTGTGTTGCTTTCATGAAGACCCTTAAACTCCATCAAGGTCCCTGGGGTATTGCTGTATAATTGACACTTGAGCTCTTTGCCTTGGGCTCTGAGATTTGTGTCATTAATACAGATCGTCCATGTGCCGCAGCAGAAGGGGCTCAGTCACGAGGAGGGTAATTTTAGACCCTCAGCTCCTCACCTAAATTACATTACCTGCTAGATTACAGCAATTTTCCAGCTGTTTGCCTCCTCTGACCTTCATTACTGATATCACCTCCCTAAAGTCTTCAGGAGAGAGAGCTCCGTGTTCAATCTCAGCTCTCGCTCTTGACCCCCAAGCTCTCCACTCTAGCTGTTAATAAAGATCACGATGATTTGCATTCACATCGTGCTGTTCGGTCCACCAGCAGCACATTACAATGGAAGAAATGTAATACCTTTTCAATCATCTGTTCTATACCAGAATACAGTGTCTACAGTGTAGTCGCCAGACAGTATTTACACTGACTCAACAACAAGATTATAATTGAGTAGCCCATGCAAACAAAGGTTTAAGGTTTCATCAATTCATTCAAATTGCAGGTCATTGGGCCTTTTATATATCAAGCACCAGGTTTTATTATGAGTGTGATTTTGGGCAGACTGGTGACTGAAACCTAGTAGAAACACATCTTCAACAATATATGGCTGTTAAGTTTTAATTTAACAATTTCTGATGCAGAAGACACATTTCAGTGGAAGAAAGCAATTAAAAAAGGTTAATAGTTAATATTTTAAATGTGCAAACTGGTATCAGAGAGTTCGATTCAAGGTCAGAGGTCCAGGGATCTGACCCCAAGACAGTCCAGTGAATGTTTGATGGAAAGCAGAACGGCAGGTTAGAGAATGCGATGGGTTTCCCTTTTTTTGTCTTGTGCGAGAGCGATCTCTGCCTTGAGACAATCCTTTCAAATTAGACTCAAATATTTACTTAGACTCACACATTTACTGAATAGAATTTGGAGGGCAAAGGTCATGGTGACCTCACAAAACATGTTTTGGCCTGTTAAACATTATATCTCAAGTCTGACATTAGAGAATTTCAGATTATGACCAGTTGTCACTTGGACTCAAAGAAAAACTGATTAGATTTCAATCGTCACAGTGAAAAAGATATGTAGACTGAAACAGCACTGGTTGGCGGTGGTATACAACATCAGGGTGGTAATTTTCTGGGCGTTACCACCAGGGAATTAATCCACTTTTCTCACTGGATGCCAGTTCATTTCTTTTTTCATTTGCTCATAAAGCACTGCATTGACTCACACCCTGTAATATGACATTAACCCATCATCCCTTGTTCCACCTCCAGGCCCCTCAGATCTGTCACTGTTCTCCATTCGGGCTATTGCAGTTTAAATCCAGGGCTGATGGGAGATTTTCCATCGTGGTGCAGTTTTCCACTCACTGTCAGATCCTCACTTTGCTCTGGCCTTGATAGCTCTTGTTTCAGTGTGTTTTGGTTCGTATCAGACCTAATCTTCACACAGCCTTGTCAAATTATTCATTGTTTGAAAGCTCACAGAGAAGCTTCGTCTATTGATTCTATCTGTGTAAAGCATCCTGGGATTTTCATATCACCGCAACAGCTGTTGACACAGAACCGGTTCAGCCTTTGTGGCTCAGGCTCTAAAGTGTTGTCCACACAAAGGCACAACTACAGGCTTCATTCTCCATTTTTACGTGAAAAATGGACATATAACTTTGGTTCAGCATCTGTTAAGATTATTTTTGGCTGGATCTAAAGTTACCTCTTAAATGAAAAACAATATATATATATATTTTTTATATTTAGGAACATTATTTGCAGGCTTCTACACAGAGATAGATTTCAAATAATATGAAATCAAATGTAATTTCTATAGCCTATATTCACAAATCACCATTTGTCTCATAGGCTTTAACAAGGTGTGGCATCCTCTGCCCTCTACCCTCAACAAGAGTAAGGAAAAACACAAAAAAAACTTGGAAACAGTGGAACAGTGGAAAAGAATGTAGAAACCTCGGAGAGAGCCACATGGGAGGGATCCCTCTCCCAGGACGGGCGGTCAGAAAAATACAATGATTAGAAGAAACAGTTTGTAACATGATGGGAAGTAAATTAATTCCGGAGTTATTGTCAGTAATGGTAGAGTATGTGAGTAGGCATATTGTACATCAAGCAGTCTTAGTGAAAACAATAGTCCACAATCAGATTCCACCATAATCTACATTCCATTGTCATGATCCGCTGACACTATCGGGATCCACCATCATGATCCACAATCAGCTGTCAACACGATCATGATCCACCACAACTATCCACGAGCAGCTGCCAACATGATACAGCACCCGAAAATACGATCATGATCTCTGACTCACGATCCACCATCATGATCCACAATGTGGCCACAGAGCCGGTCCTGGATCTGCAAACGATATAGCACTAGGATTCCAGAGAGGAAGTCAAGTCAGTAACAGGTATTGACGAGACATTAATGTGGTAAGGAGGGAGAAGAGGAAAGAGAAGCTCCATGTATTATGCGTCCCCAAACATTCTAGACCAATAGCAGCATAACTGAGAGCAGGTCCAAGACAAAGCTGAGTCAGTGTAGTGAAGCTAATACAGGAGAAATGTCAGAACACGTGCTGCAGCATTCTGGACAAGCTGCAGAGTCTTTAACGAATTACTGCTGCAGCCTGATAATAAGGAATTACAATAATCAAGTCTGGATGTCTGGACAAAGGCATGGACCTTTTTTATGCACTTTTGGCGACAGGACATGTCTGATTTTTGAGGTGTTACCTAAGTGAAAGAAGGCGGTCCTAGAAATGTGTTTTAAGTGAGAATCAAAGGAAAAAAAGAGATCAGAGATAACTCCCAGATTCCTGACCGTCTCACTGGACGCAAGGTCATCTAGAGCAGCTATATCATTGGATAATGTATTTCTAAGACGTTTAGGGCAGAGTATTAGAACCTCTGTGATAGTTAATTGTGTAGTTAATTGATTACACTGCTCTGGTTTTATTGATAGGTATAACAATGTCATCCACATAGAAGTAGACATTTACCAAGTGTGTCCTGACAATGTTCCTAGTGGAAGCATATATATAAAACTTTGGTGCACACAGATGACTCTTTAGGGTGGTTCCTTTATTGCCAATTAACTGTTCTAGTCTCTGTAATAAAATGTGATGATCAGTAGTGTTGAATGCTTCACTAAGGTCTAACAGGACAAGGACAGACACAAGTTGTTGTAGTTTGCTAAAACATCCAGGTCCAGGGTGGTTTGAGTACAGCTGTCTTAAAGGACTGTGGTACATATCCTGATGATGGATGATAGTGTTATTGTCTGTTTCAATGTTTATTGCCATCATGAAGATATGATGTGTTCATTCTCTGTACAATGTATTGCGTTTTTTATGATTTTATCCAAAAATATTTATTCTACACCTTTCTCAATTGACTTAAACCTTTAAAGGATGTACGTCAGATACTGGAGGAGTTTAATAGTATTACCAGCTTCATTTATCAACTATATGCACCCTCCATTTTTTCTGTACGGTGGATTACAGACGGCTAAATGCAGAGCCTCTTGAGGAGATGGAGTGTGTTTATAAACTGATGCTGTAATCCCAAGATCCTGTGGAGCAACAGGCTTAATGCACAGCTCAGTCTTACAGGTTCTGTGGAGTTGAGCCATATGCTGCCTTTTATTACAGGATGTTACATGCTGGGCAGAAAGAGAAATCACTGCTTTTTACTTCCTCTGTGCAGCGAATCCTAACCCAACAGTCAAAGTGAAGAGTTTGGATTATTTAAAGAAAGTAGAGGGAAACGAGAGGGTGGGTGAGCTGTGGAGGAATTATGATGATTTCAAAGAGTGAAAAATAAAATATGATAATAGAAAAGCTCTTTTTCTATGTGACAGCTTGATTTCCTCCTCGCCCATCACTCTGCCTCCAGCTCTGTGATGGAAGTGGATTTCATTAAGTTCATCTGAATAAGAAATGGGAGTGCTGTGTAAGGGTGGCATGGGTTTCATTGGTTTTAAGTAGTGATAGGAAAGAAGGATGGGTGGATGTGTGTTGAAGGCTGAGTGTGGATAAGGCCGGGAGGACACATCGGGAGACACATTTGCATTAAAATGCCTCTCAACTAGGGGTGTAATGATTCGTTTTAACAACGATTCGATTCGTATCATGATTCGTGGTTGCCAATACGATTCAAGGACGAAATTGGTTCATTAAGAACGATACGATCTGAAACGATTCAGTGACTTGAAATCGATTCAGTAACTTTTTAGCCAAAAATTCAACCAGTGTGACTGAAATAAATACCTTGATAGTGGACAGTGCAGGTGAAGTTTCCTAGATCCTGTTGTTTCTTGTAAGGGAATCAGGTATATATAATGGATATAAACATGTTTATATCCATTATATTTATATATTTAGTCTCTGACTAAACATGCTGGCAAGGCCTGAGGCTTCTGCAGAGCTGACTTCCCCTTGCCATGCTGCTGCAGCAGGAATGCTTCAAGAGGTGCTTGGACCGTCGGTGTTGTGTGATGAAATCCCATGGCGCTTGAGGCGTTGCCATGGTACTTTACTTGACCTTTACATATCCTACAAACAGCGAGCGACTTATTTAGAACATCTCATCATCGTCTTTGCAAAAGCTAAAGTGTTTCCACACACTGGACCGCAATGGTGGCTTGATAATTTCTCGCTCGCCGGCTTCTCCTCTGCCGTCCGCCATCATACTATGTTTTGATATTTGCGCTGCTGCCGGTGCGTGGCGATGAGGTCACAGACAGGCATATTGAATTGAGTAACTTTTAACACCTTTATCATTAAAAGTGCTAAAAAAAAAACACATCCATGTAAAGTCTGACTTGCTTAAATCCAATGAGTTATTTCCTAGTATCGATACAACCGATTGATTACTTTTTAAAACGATGTTAGATCGATATATGTCTTCCTGAAGGCCAACTTGCCGAGCACAGATCGATGTAGTTGGATCGTAGGAATATAAATCGATACATCGATGTAGTAGATGAATCGTTACACCCCTACTCTCAACCATACTTAATTAGATATAAGTGAGAGATGAACTAGATGGTCACCTGGCTCACCTGTGCTAGTAACTATATGTACATTTACTTTATTAGTACAATTACCACCGCGTTCATCAGCTTATATTGGTTTGTTTACTGCACTGCATTTATCCAGTTCAGATTACAATTAAATAAAATGGTTAGAATGTAATAATAATAATCTAATGATATATTTATGGAACACAGAAGCCATTTACTTGCATAGTAAACACTTTTGAGTTTAAATAATTGAGCTCAGTCTTCCACCACAGACAGAATACAGTAGTACTATCACAGTTCTGTGTTTTGCTTTCTGATAAATCTAAGCATACCCTAAATCCCCATCCTCCCACTCTCCTGTCCCCCCACAGAAAAAGAGCAGAGAGGAGAGCTGCGGCGAGGGCAGTGGCGTGGAGATCCTGGAGAACAAGCCTTATGAGGACGGCCCAGGGGGCTCGGGCCAGTACACGCACAAGGTCTACCACATCGGGAAACACATCCCGTCCTGGTTCTGTGCCATCCTGCCTCAAGCTGCCCTCCGAGTGGAGGAGGAGTCCTGGAATGCCTACCCCTATACAAGAACCCGGTGAGACGACACAAACAGTGGACCTGTGTTTATCTTGCCACTGATCTTAAGTTAAATATAAGAGCAAAAACAAATCCTGCTCTCTAACATAAGATGGTCTTAAAGTGGATGAATGGGATGAATCTCCTGCTCACACTCAATAGTTGGTACTTTAATTTCCCTCTGATATAAATTCGAGCGGTGGTCTGAGACTCCGACTGCCCAAGTTTAAGTGTAAAATGACTCAGCGTGCAGATTTTAATTTGGAAAGTACCACGTTATTGCAAAAGTGTTCCGACTTTCAGAATACAGACACTTAAATCTTTCTTGGGAAAACCTTTGCTCCATGTAAAAAAAATTGCATTGAGTGATATGTAGGCATCATCTAAAAGTAGAGAGACTGGCCTTTTTGTAATAAACCATTTTTAATGGTTTCCATCATGTGGCTCTTAGATTCATACATTTAATGACTGATAAAACTTCTGCTTATTGCAGCATATTGCTGAGAGAGCCATTTATTTATATGCAGCTGAAAAATCACCTTTTCTGCACACACTGCTGTCAACCTTGTGCCAGATTTCACAACTTTTTATGTCCTAGGTAGATCCCTAGCACTCATGTTGGCAAAGACGATGTGCGTACTGAGGATACTTGTGTATACACACTGTTTCCTGTCAGTTTCATTATAAATGTGAACTATATTCATAAGATATGCTGAATAATAGACCAAATCTTCTGCGTTCCTCCAGCTATATTGCATTTATATTACCACAAAATGCCAAACTGATGGAGGCCAGAGGTACATCCTTAGTTTCAGCTCCTTATTAACATCTCTTTTTGTTTCGCAGGTATACCTGTCCCTTTGTAGAAAAATTCTCTATCGACATTGAGACGTATTATAAACCAGATACTGGAAACCAAGGGGACGTCTTCAATCTGTCCTCTGCTGAAAAGAGACAGAGGACTGTAGGTAAGCAGGTCATCATGCACACTGAGAACTCCCTCACTCCGTCCTGCCATCTGGGGCTGGGGCAGCAGTAGCTCAGTCCATAAAGATTTGGCTTGGCCACCATGGGTTGCCGGTTCAAGTCCAGCATGGACCATAAGTATGGAAGGTGGACTGGTAGCTGGAGAGGTGTCAGTTCACCTCCTAGGCACTGCTGAGGTGCCCTTGAGCAAGGCACCGTACCCCCCAATTGCTCACAGGGCGCTTCTCCTGGGGCTGCCCATCGCTCTACCATCTCTCTCCAAAAATGTGCATGTCGTTGAGCCCTCTGTGTGCGCGTGTGGGATTGTGTATAAAATGAAAAATGAGTGTAAAAAGAATTTATAAAGGAAGTTTAAGTTTCATTGTTCTGCTGAGTGGTCTTCATCTCTTCATAATCAGACATCAGATGTACACAGTGATATTTGCAGTGAAAAAAACAGACGACTTGGTGCAGAGGAACTCAGGCTGTGGAGTAGAGGAGTTTGTGTTGAGCTCTGAATATAAAAATGGACTGAGGTGCAGGCAACATGTGCAGTTTGCTCCACACATGTTCCCTGCAGGGAGTGATTACATAAAAGAGACACACACACACACACACACACACACGTCCCTCTGGAGGCAGGTGTTCAGTGAGGACGTCGTGACATCTGTCGTGCTCTAACCTGCTGCTCACATCTGCTTCAGCGTTCCCTCCTAAATCATTCTATGTTGCCTTTTAGACCCCATAGACATCGTGAAGGACTACATCGCTCCTCATGAGTACCTGGTGGAGGAAGACCCGAAACTGTACCAGTCTGTCAAGACCAAACGGGGTCCACTGTCAGAGGACTGGATCGAGGAGATCAACCAGGACCCTGGTCAGAACCCCGTCATGTGTGCCTACAAGCTCTGCAAAGTGGAATTCAGATACTGGGGCATGCAGTCCAAGATCGAACGCTTCATACATGACGTGGGTAGGTATGGTGTGTGTGTGGTCCAGGTGTGACTCATGTTGTGGGGACCTGAATCTGTTTACACACACATCATGGGGACCTGTCTTCTTTATGGGGACAATTAATTTAATTTAAAGGTGAAGACATGTTTTAAGGTTAGGTTAAGTATGTTATTTAAAGTGCTTTATGTTATATGTAAAAAAAACATAAATGATGAAAGATGAACAACATAAAAATGCAATTACAAATTAAAATAATAAAAACTTCATGGAAGCATTAAAAATAATGAAAGATTCAGAATAATCATGGGTAGTCAGTGAACAATAGAGAAAGCTGGAAATAACCCAGGCAAGTAATGACTCTCAGTGAGAAGCCAAGAATCAATCAAATAAAAATAACTTTTGGGAAATATTTCTGCAAGCTTTGAATAAAACAACGCTGTAGGGTAAGAGATAAAATCAAAAGCCTGTGCTAACCTTGGAAAATGTAGAAATTACCCTAGATAGTTGGGGAATTGCTGCCAATATGTTATCATTAAACAATCCCAAAAGTTCAAACTACAAAGATACAAATGTAAGGCATGAAAATTAAAAGTCAGGAAAATAATTTTCAAATATCATTTAATCATTGGATTGAGCTGTTGGGATGCATCATGACATTACAAACTCGATTCCAGTGCATTTTACTTCCAGGCTTAAATAATTGTCTCCTAGAGGAGCATTGATAGCTCAGAATTAAAATGTCTTTCCCATCGTATCACGTCACAGATGCTGTTTAATTTGGAAACATTTGTCTCTCCACACTTTATACCCAATGTCTGTTCAGTGAAATGAAACTAGTTTGTCAGATTCTCTTTGTGTATATGACGTTTAAATCCCAGCAGCACATCATGTGCTGACATCATGGCTGCCATGTGAATATTGTCTATTTAAGACTTGTTGTGTGTGTGTTACTATATGAAACAGTGAGGGGGGTACTGAAAAAGAAATGGTGAGTGTGAGGAAACAGGTGAAGATGATGGTAAATAAAAACAGTGGAGAAATGGCTGGAAAAGTGTAGGAAGTGTCTGAGAGGCAGTAGCAGAGAGAAGTGGCTGCTTCCCTGAGATAACGCAGCACTCTGGATTCATTTGCCTGCCAGTGTTGGGCTGTTTCTCTTCCGCTGCTGTGATGTGACACTGTTTATACACCCTGACAGGCCTCAGCCTACTCGCTCACAGCATCTCCTTCCAGACTAATGAAGCAGCAGCTGTTCTGTCTTCACTCTGCGGTCCAATCCACATGATCTCCATCTCCAAAATGTGTTTTCTTCTCCCTGACACTCCCCGTTGCCACTTAAAGGTTCAGTGTGTAAGATTTAGGTGACAGAGAGTTTTGGCAGAAATTGAATATAAAATAATCCTAGTGATGTTTTTACTGGTGTGTTTCATCTAAATTGTATGAATTGTTGTCTTCTTTACCATAGAATGAGCTCTTTATATTTAAAAACGTTATATTTACATGGAGGGGGGGTCTTCTCTGTGGAGGCCACCATGTTTTTTTTATTGTCGTCCAAACTGGACAAAATAAAAGTGAATGAGTTTTCATGACAGCTGAAGGCCACCACAAGTTCTCTTTCGTGTTTGGGAGGGGAGGGTGAGATGAGGAGTATTCAGCTGCAACATGCAACTTCACCTCTAGATGTCACTGAATTCTACACACTGAACCTTTAAGCCCTTGCGCTTCCTTGGAACTTTTCCTTTGTTTTTATGCTCTATGCTTTCAGTCGTGGACCACACCTCATCAAGCTCGACTCATGAATATTATCAGCTACCAAATAAACTGTGCTGAAAGGGTCTGCTGGTTGTATACTTCAGATGATTCAAGCTTTGTTAATGAGCTATTCAGCAATTTCCACTTTCATGCTCAATTTCACCATGTGCTGGTAGTTCTTTTACTGGATACTAATATAATGGCCCTCTCTGTTTGCTAATAGTGGCTTTTATAGCCAGGTTGGATGTTTTAATTATGAGCTGCTTGAGGGGTTCCTGGGTTTTATAAGCAGCTGGTGCTTGTTTAGTTCATCAGAAGGGAGACATTGATGAGAATTTAATCTCATTTGACAAGACAGAGGCAGCTTTCTCTCACATTAGTTTTGTTCTTTTACGGAGCCCCCCCTGTTGACAGTGGTGGAGAAAATATCAATGTGTGTCCCCAAAAAGTTATTAAGGTATGGGAATGGTATGACTAAATGGTCACGTCTAAATATTGCATGCCTACAAAATACAAATCCGTTTTGTGCTGTCAAGACAAGGGCGAGAACGTTTCATTTAATCCCAAGATGTAGCCTCACTAAGGGGTTTGACACACACTTGCTGTGTCTCAATTCAGGGGCTGCATCCTTTGGATGGAGGGAGTCTTCGCGGGCTGTGTAGACCATGAACGCTGAACTGAAATAAAACAGTCTGGTCTTCAGAGGATGATGATCAGTGAACGAGGTCACCAGCTTGTCCTGCCCCTTTTTGGCTGTTGCCTAGTAACAGAGCTGAAGTTTGACATGACGAGAAAGTTTTAGTGCCTCTTGGTTTTTTGTACTGTTCAGTTGAGTTGAGGCATGATACTCAATTGTTGGACCTCTTAAAAATGGTTTGTCACTGCAACGCAATGAATCCTGGGACAGGTTAGGCTGGGAAGGATCCACCTGTCGAAGCCTCTGTTTCTCAGGAATGAGAGGACACATTTGTCAACTGTTTTTGAAGGAGCCTTCAAAATGGGACTAGGTTCTGTGATGCAATCTGTCTTGAGATGCAGCCTCGGAAGGATTGACACAACTACTGTGACTCTGAGGGAGGCCACACTGTGGTGGAAACATTTACAATCACTAATCATAAGAAACATATAGGACTGTTGGGGTCATCTCATCTCATTCCCACGTCTTAATAACTCGTGGCCACGCAATAATATTTTTTCACCAAGGGGGCTCCGTAGACTTTAATGCATTCTTGTATCTTGCATCTGTGTTCAATACCACAACTGACGCAGTGAACTACAATGGGAATGTATTCAACTTTAAACAATTTCCCTGTTTTTTTTTCTTTCCAAAATCCTGTTGTGTGCTCCAGTTTTACAGCCTTTCTTTGAGAAGTGTTCTCTTACGGTTGATGAGGTCATCACTGATCATACGATTCATACTGGAATCTCTCCCTTATCATTGCCACATGCTCACAACAGTAAGAAACAGTAGAAAGAAAAAAAGAAAGAAAGAAAATACATTGAATTCTTCATTTTAGTTCTTTGAGCAGCAGTGAGTGCATTAATAGGCTTCTTATATTTCAATGTACAGAACCTGTTGGGGATCAACTTATTTAATTCCAAGTACTATTTATTGTTATGTGTTATCTGCTAACCAGCATCCAGAGTTACCTGACTCTGAGCTCTTACCTGAGAATCTGAGGATACATTCTGTATTCACCAGCCATAACTTCATACTTTTCAAGGTTAATCCACTTAAATGATTTATGTCCCAGGAACATGATTTGTTCCTTTTAAAATTAAATTACATGCTGATGAAACTGTGTGGCTTTCCTTCCAGGTCTGCGTAAAGTGATGGTCCGTGCCCACCGGCAGGCGTGGTGCTGGCAGGACGAGTGGTACGGCCTGACCATCGAGGACATAAGGCAGCTGGAGCTGGAGACCCAGCTGGCGTTGGCTAAGAAGATGGCCCACTACAGCCTCAGCGAGGAGGGGGGAGCGGAGACCAATGGCTCTGCTGTCAGCCAGGACCAGCAGCAGGGAGCTGAGGCTGTGGGAGCCAGTGCAGAGGCAGAGGGAGGAGCAGGGAAGCTGGGGGAGTCACTGGAGTCACGAGGGGAGCTCACCAAGCAGTGGTCAACATCCTCTAGATCCTCCAATAGGTCATCTAAGAGAGGAGGTGAGGGGGACTCGCCTAATGCTAAGATTAATAATTATAATATTAATGTGTTCAGAATCAGATATTATTAAAACTATTTTCAACAAAAAATTGTTTACACAACACAGTCATTGAACAGGAACAGGATATCTTGGTGTTTCAGGATATCTTACTTTGCATATAGATGATTTTTTAGTATTCTATATGTTTTTCATATCATAATCTTTAGGTAAGGGTCAGATCATACACACGCATTGTTATACGCAGAAGGTGGAGTTGTTTTTTCTATTTAATGGCTCACTTTATACATTCATACATTTTCCCAACTTTCCTCAATAATCTCCAGGCCCAGTTCTCAGTCCAGTTTCTTTTTCGTATGGGAGGTTGAGTGATTTTCAAAGTTGTGCTTTTGGTCCCTTTTTATTCTTAACAGAGAAAATGAAAAAAAAAGAAAAACAAAACAAAGAAACATAATATAATATATTATTTTATCCAGTTATTCCATTTGACCTTGTAATTATCCAGATCCAAATACAAAGTTCATCCATTTTGAACATGGCCCTTAGTAGTGTGCCTCCACCTCCACCAAGGCCCAACAGTCCCCTTAAGAAACCACAGATCTTTATTTGGATCTACACCAAATTTCACTCAACACTCATAGACATGACGCAACATGTCCAATATCTGTTATCAAGATCCACAAATTACTCTCTGAAAGGAAAGGGAAGTGTGACAACCTAGAAAAAGATTTCTGGATCCACCCCTGATCAATTCAATTCAATTTGTTTTCATTTGTTTATTTGTCTGGAGTTTTGTATTGTTCTGTATATTATGAATTACCTTTAGCACATTCTCCCTTTAACATTAATGTGGTTATTGAAGTAACCTCGGACCCGTTGACCTGTTGTGTGTGCACAGGAAGTCCATCTCATCAGAGCATTTCAGAGTGGAGGATGCAGAGCATCGCACGGGACTCGGAGGACAGTACCGACGATGAGTTCTTTGATGCTCATGGTAAAATCCCTACTTTCTGCATAATACATGATAAACAGCTGTAGGAGCTGGATGTTATGGAGTAAATCAATTATATTTGAGCAGTGCTTCCTACTTTACAGCATACAAACAATATATTGATTATTCTATTTTTTATCATGTTTCAAATTTGTATCTGTAGCTGCTGAATATTAACAAAATATTTTGTAAATATATATTATATATGAGCAAATTTGAATTGTGGAGGATGGTCTTATTTCTTCTTCTTTCTTAGTGCGAATGGATGCACTGAAACATTAAATAGTGAATATATGAGTCTGTTAAATTTATAGATGATCAATACTGTTGGTTGTTACATTAGATTCACTAAATTCACATTTTCTATAAATATATGATAATTGACTGCGTTAGTCCATGACAGGACTGAGTTTAGCCATGAATAAAGTTTGATTGTGAACAGATCGGATCATTTCTGCTGTAGTAATGCTCCAAAAGTGTAAAAACACCAAACTGGATTTCCTGGTCTGACTGTTACCTTAGACAGCATGCCCCCCCCACAGCCCCCTGCAGGGAGCCGTCTCCAGTCTGTTCTCAAGGATTGAAAATGTCCCATGAGGCACCCTTCTCTAGAAGTAACCCACAGTTGAAGGTTGTGTGGAAAAACGCTCTATCATATGTGTAAAACTAAGATATGTTTTCCTGGCTCTGTCCCCCCCCTTCTGCTCCAAAGGTTGATTGGTTCATTCTTGGCCTGTGCCCCACCCTGCCACCAAGTTTCAATAAATGAAGCATTGCGTTAGTTCATGCAGGACACAATCATGTGCTCAGCTGTCAGCTACCGATAGGTTTATGGGTGCTCGTCAGTCACCGACCAATCACAGCCCATTCTCTCACCAAAGCGGTCTCTTTTGAATACGACCTCATCCTCACTGATCCCTGCTCAGCTACACTGCCACCCGCACCTGCTGCCGGCAACTTGCCTCCACCTTTTAAGCACCGAGTCCAAACACGGTCGTGGTAAACGATATTCATCTTAAACAAACATAATTACATTGAAAGTCTCTTTGTGTATCACGCAGAGGACTTTTCTGACAATGAGGAGATGTTTGCCAAGGAGATCACCAAGTGGAGCTCCAACGACCTGATGGACAAGATAGAAACAACAGAGGTGGATGAAGCACAAGGTAGGCGACCTTTAGCGTGTGTGTGTTATTTTAAAATGAACATGAACAAACACTGGAGCACAGTATTAACACGTGAATGAATTGTGTTTTCACAGAAACTTTGTATCGGGAGTCGGGCGGGGAGTACGCCGTGATGAGTAATGAGGAGGCGCAGATGGAGGTACGCTTTCATCTCACACCAACACTCTTAATTAAATAGCTTGTAGATAACAACCCTGCTCCTAAATAAGCTTTCAGTCATCCTGCCAGTGCAGTGGCATCAGGTTCCACTCTCTACTGCAGCAATTTCACCAGGGATAGAAGATAAGGGTTTTCTCGGTTTACACTCCGTGTGTAAGTGTGTTTTCAGGTGTGTGTTTTGTCTTTTTTGCATAGTGGTGTGTCTCGAAAAGGCAAGATCTTTAGTCCATCAGGTTTCCCCCATGGCTGAATGTGAGTCACTGTAGCCAGTGAGAGGACGTGTTGTATACAGTCCTCCTAAATTAGAAATAGCATTAGAAATAGTGTTTAGAATAGATTATAGAATTTGTTTCTATATTTATTCAAAGAGAACATTTGAATAGAAAGAGATAAACTCGTTAACAGTGAAGTGTTTTGATGTTTTTTGTAACATATTAATTACTGAGCTTTAGAGGAGCTGTTTCTGATTCTGTTACTGCTGCGAGTCTTTGTGCTAAGCTAAGCTAACTGTCTTCTAGATGTGTCTGTGCTCTATTAACATCTAACTTTGCAGGAAAGTGGAACTGATCCTTAAACTCTGTTATTAGTTAAATGTATCGCCTCGTACATGTTCAGGATTTCAGCAGTAAAGACTCGGATGCATTAAAGGGACATTCTGGTGATTTATTATTGCACTTCCATAAATCTGGTAGACACATGAAAAACAGAATTAATGCTGTGAGTCTGGAATATTCTTATAGCATTTTGTCAACTTGACTGACTTAGTCTTTTCAGTTGCTGCTCCAAGGCTTTCGATCACATCACCCTACATTCCTCAATGTGGTGACAGAAATGAGTTTTTAATTTTAATGTTCAATGAGATCTTGAACATTCACACGGCCTAAAAGTTTTGACTGGAAGTTCATCGCTGACCTTGGAAGCAGCATTTGCTGAAACTGTCTCCATTTAGTAGCTATTTTGTAGTTTGAATGATTTTAAGCAATTTTCCACCAATTTATAATCTCAAATCATTTTGAGCTCTCATCCTTCTTATTGCTTCATCCGATTAAAGTGTCAGAAAATAGTAAAAAATACCAGTTTCTCCAGAGGTTTGACTTCTGAGTGTTTTATCTTGTCCAACCATAAGAAAAAAGCAGTAAATCACATTTTAGAGGCTGAATGTTTTTGCTTCCTGAATGACCTCAGTGATTCTCAATTGTCTAATTGTTTTAGCAGTAGTTCTTTGCCCTGCATGTCGCTCACTCCCTCTGTGCTCCTCCTATATTCTCCCACTCCCTGTTAACCTACTTTCCTTTTGTTTTTTCCATGGTTTTCCCGTCTCTGTGTCTCCTGTCGTCTTACTTGCAGGATTGTTCGTCTCAGCAGTGTCTGCAGCCGTCAAAAATCCACGTCCTCGTTCTGGTCCTGCACGGAGGAAACATCCTGGACACTGGCTCTGGTACAGCACCAACTCAGACCTATATCACTGTTAATAACAGTTTGGCTTTAGAAATCGTGCTGACTTTAAACTGGAGCTACTTGAAATCCCAAATGTTGAGAATTTGTAGAAAAACATCCTCACTGCTCAAAGTGGGTCAGGTCTGAGAATATTATCCTCTTCATTTTTAATAGTGCAGTTAATGAATAATAGTGAAAAACATGAGTGACATAGAAATTTAATTAACAGTCAAAAACACCAAAATATTGACTTCACAGTCGCAGAAGAGAGAGATTATCATAACTGGAAGGATTCATTTTCTGTTGATCGAGTAATTAATAAACCTTTAATTGTTTTATAATTATTCAGGACATTTTTAAGCCTGAAGGTTGACATGATGAATAACAGTATGAAAAGGGAAACAAACATTCCTGCACATTAGTTTTATTTAATTTATGTGAATTCAATTTCTTTTCACGTTTTCTATGGAATATCAGTTAGTTTCCCTCATTGGGCCTCTTACACTGAATGAAACGTTTTTTGACAAATGAATTCTTGAACCAAAGATTTCTGTTTATTTCTTTTTAAGGGTGACACATTTTTGGATTCACTGATCCAGAATGCGTTCTTGTTTGTCTGCAGGTGATCAGAGCAGCAAGCAGGCAGATGTAAACACACTGAGTGGGGCTTTTGAGACCGTGATGAGGGTCCATTACCCTGCAGTGCTGGGCCGCATCGCCATCCGGATGGTCCCCTGCCCTGCTGTGTGTGTCGACGCATTCTCCCTGGTCTCCAAGTGAGCGATCGTCTTGAGTATTCTACAGTGTTTAAATAATCTATGCACAACCTGATGTGCAGACATTAAACACACATGCGCGACAGGATAATAGGATAATATTGTGTCCTCTGTGTGCTGCAGCCTGAGCCCCTACAGCTACGACGAGGGCTGCCTCTCTAGCAGTCAGGACCACATCCCGCTGGCTGCTCTGCCTCTTCTGGCTACCTCTGCTCCACAGTATCAAGACGCTGTAGCGGCCGTCATCTTACGAGCCAATCAGGTCTACGGTGACTTCATCAAGTCTCTAGAGGGGGCGTCTTTTAATGGCCAGGTCGGTTACTCATTGTTCTGAATCATATTTCCTCAACATTTGGGCCTCAGTGGTTTGTTGGTGCACGTGCAGGTGAAGCTCATTCATGTCTTTGCTGTGTTTTCTTATGCAGGTGTGTGTCATTGGGGACTGTGTCGGTGGAATCTTGGGGTTCGATGCTCTGTGCAGCAGCTCGGTGACGGTGTCAGAGAGTCAAAACAGCAGCAGACGGGGCAGCACCATCAGTGTGCAGGTAGATCAGCCAAAATCCAGCCTGGACCTAAAACTCCTACGAAAAGTATTGCTGTTGGTGTTTTGTGTGGAGAAACGTTCCAGTCGTGTGTGATAAGAGGAACTAGTTGGACTGTAAACTGAGTCTCGAGAGTTTTGGTCCAGATATCGTCTGTTTAGGAGAAGGGCCTTAAAAGATTGGCTGTTGCCCCCGGTGGCTAATTCGTCAGCAGATTATAGCCAATGGGCTCTGAGATCGGTTTGTCGGTTTAACAGTGTTAGCAGCACAACACATAACCAACATGACTCCTATGTCACTTCTAAATAAATAAATAATAATCACAATATTCCCAGACAATGAAATTCTTTGTATCATCAGGATTAGAAATTAAAAGCCAGATCTCTGCCCTGCTGAGAGCAGTGTGAAATAGATGGTTATTATGAATTACTGATTATTAATTCATTATTAGTACTATTAATCCAATAGTTTTCTGTCTGAACTGAAAGTGGTGGACATGCGAACATGTCTAGATATGTAAAAACTAAAAAATTCAGATAAATAAAAATACCATTTCCCTGCATGTTTCAGGCCTGAACATGTTTTCTCTGTTCTCTCTCCATCTCTGTCTCTCAGGACACAGACCTCCTCTCTCCAGGTATTATCATAAACAGTGTCTCTCCGTCTTCGCCGTCCCTCGAGGGAAGCCGCCATCTCAGCCGCAGCAACATAGACATCCCTCGCTGCTCGGGGCCCGACGACCCCAAGAAACAGCTTCCACGCAAGCGCAGCGACTCGTCCACGTACGAGCTGGACACCATCAAGCACCACCAAGCCTTCCTGTCCAGGTGAGATACAGAAATAGACACAAATATCACAAGGTCTCTCAGGTTTCAGCCGCTGTGTGTTGGGTTCATCTTGATATTTGTCCTTTGACGAACACTGTTTTAGTTGATTTATTTCTGTTTTATTTACTAATCAGGAGCTACACAGATGCACACAGGCAGTAAAATAATACACTGATTGTATGAATTCCTCCTCTCTGAGCAGTCTTCACTCCAGCGTGCTCCTAGCAGAGCCCGGATCACGGCGCTCCAGCAACAGCACCATGTTGGAGGGAGGCTCCTTGGGAAAGTTTGACTTCGAGGTGACCGACTTCTTCCTCTTTGGCTCCCCTCTGGGGCTGGTGCTCGCACTGAGGAAGACTGTGGTGCCCACTTTAGATGGTGAGCAGTGTTTTTTCTCCCCTGTTTGTGCACCTTACTTTGATGGTCTTGTTGTATTTAATACATTATATATTAGATTTTGTGTTTTCTGATCATTGTACCTTTGCCAGATAGAATTGAGCGAGATTATTTGTAGCCTTGATGTTCCCTTCTGTTTAAATGTCTCAAGCAGCTTGAAAGTATATGTCAAATGTCATATTTCTGAACTTAAAATAAAAGAAGAAACCATGAGACAGATAAGACAAATTTGTGACTGAAGACAGAGCTCACACAGTGGTGCTTTTTATCACAATGGAGAAGATGAATTAAAAACAAACTGCTGAGCATCACTCCTCATGTGTTTGGTTCCCCGCTCCAGTGTCGGCTCTGCGTCCAGCCTGTCAGCAGGTTTACAACCTGTTTCACCCGGCCGACCCCTCGGCCTCGCGCCTCGAGCCTCTCCTGGACAAGAGGTTCTACCTGCTGCCTCCCTTAAGTGTTCCCCGCTATCAGCGCTTTCCTCTGGGTGATGGACACTCAGCTCTCTTGAGTGAGTCCACACACACCAACATACATCATCACCAAATTATTGCATTGCTATCATGTCTGCTAACTCTTTTCTCTTTCTTCTTCTTAAATCTGTTTTCCTAGTGGAGACTGTGCAGAGTAACCCTCAGCTTCTAATGGATACTGGTGGTATGGGGTCCCAACGCTGGCAGGAAAGCCCCGTCAATGAGACATCCATCCCTGTGCCCGTTCTCAACTGGCAGACCTCACAGCTCCACGCAGAGAGTGTGTTTCATTGAGCTTTATCGTGCCCTGTTATATTCTTTATCACTATCTATGTACTGCTTCCTGGTTTGAGTCTTATTTACATAGTATAGCCAGGTGTGATAAAGTTGGAAAGAGGAATATTTCAATATTTTAGGAAATATGATCAACAGTGAGACTGTGAACTGGTGGTCTGGCTCTGTCCCAGGGCACCAAACTCTACCAACAACTCTTAAGGTTCATCTCTAATTGACTCAAATAAGCTCCTGAAACCTGGTGACAGCGCAAAAGAAAGAAGTGAGACCAGGCCACAAGCACAAACAGGTTTTATAAAGAAAAATGGAGGCTTTTCCTAAATGACTCTAAACATTTCCCCTCAGCTTCACTGAGCTTTAATGACTCTATCTGTTTGGACCTTACTTGAAAGATGAAAGACTGACAATTGACTTTACACTCAAATTCGTTATCCATTCATTTTCAAAATTATTTTCTCAATAATAAAGTAATCACTTAGTTTGAAAATAAAGACTCACAATTTCTTGGAAGCCACAGTTTCATTGTCAGTTTGCTTGTTTTGTCCGACTCGGATATCAAAA